ATAGGGACGTTTGTATTGTAAAATAGCGACAAAACGAAAATGCAAATCGATTTTATGATAATGCTCTCTAAACCCGTGCAAGGAAAAAAACATGTAAAGGATATAGCTGATTAAAAAAGAATCGTTTAAGATATGATCAAGAATAGCAATATATCTCACAAACGGATATTGGTAAAACGTCCTAAAAATTGCAAACCTTATTGAATTCAGAAAGTGCGAACGACCACGTAAAATGTCATAAGTCACACTATTAAATTTTATTCTTCAACTTCTATCAGTAAAAAAAACAAGAGTAAATTTTCTTTTCCAAAAAATTGTATCATCAAAGAATATCAACATTTTACCAAGTCGAATATGAAATTTACAACTGTCTGAATTATTGATAGTGAAGATGGCTGAAAACTTGACTTGCTCTAATAATCAACGTTTAACAAAAGAGAAATAGTGCTTAACTGCTCGGATAACGAGTGTAACGCCCTTGAATTATGGAGAAACAAGTCGAACGTGAGACTATTCAGCGGACACTTTGCTAAAACAATTCCTTAATATGAGACACTAACACGACAATAGTGTGAAGTTCGACCGGAAGAGGCTCACATGTAAACGTGGCCACGCTAACAATTAAAACGCAAAAATTCGATTGTGTACAAGAGAAAACCGGTTCCTAATTCGCCACCAAATGCAAAAACCTCAACGACATGTCTTCGTGGGAAAAGTTCCACTTAACAAAACTTCGTCGGAAAAAAAAATGAGAAAATAAAAACAATTCCACGAAAGAAAAGCCATGTATGTATCCATTTTTACGAAGATAGCTAATTCAAGAATATTAGAAGGGAGTTCTTCAAAGACGGCAAATCAAACCATTATCTCTAACTATAATGAACAAAGATGCTCACAGTATTAAGTAATGGCATTTGCGTCTAAACGAGCCCTTATTTAGTTTTGAGGTCGCACCAGTTTCAGTAAATTTCGAGATTATTTATACCTGTGTCACTGTGGAAGACCGAATTGGGCCAGTCGCGGTTCGCCATTTTGATCCGGTATCATTTTGGGTAGAGGTTTGAATGTGAGAGCTTGGAAGAGGAGGGAAAGCTTCAGCGTAAGTAGGCTGATAGCCTTCCAAGTCTAATCCTGCGTCTTCTTCAAAATGGTTGTTCAAATCTGTTTGTGCGATGTAGCCTCCGTCGCTGTACATAGAGTCTTGACCGTGAACTTCACCAGGCGATGGCGACCCATTTGCTATCTTGTCCATATTCTTGAAATCTGGTCCGTTTGCCGGTCAGGATCTACAGTCCCACTAAAACAGGGCATAAAAGAAACAACAGCTGTTTAACAACAACACACGACGAGAAGTTAAAAGCAATCACGGTTTTGCGCACAGCAAAAACCGTGTCTCGTGGCTAATGCAAATTCGAAGGATATTCTACATTTCTCTCACGTAACACAAAACGGGAATTCCAACAGACCTGCTACGCAATGGTGACTGTTTCCGATAAAATCAGTCCCGGGATTAGTTCCTGGGTTAGCAAGCCAGAGTGCCGGTCACAGAGGTAAAAAAAAACTATTATTTCGGCCCCAGTGGCTTGAATAAAGAAGCAACGATTACGTGCTCCTACACAAGGAGAATAATTTACGCACGAGAATTAGGCGAAATCGACAAGCTTCTTTGTCTCACTTCCAAGTCATTGCGTCATTTCGTTATTGACCAATCAGAAGGGTGAAAAATTTGGTGCCCAGATTTAAACGAGCGACAAGTATACAACGCCTGACGAGAAATTCCAGTTGTGCCTCGTTTACTCAGCTGTGAGGGTTCGCATCAACCCTGGAGGATATTCTTCTTTTTTGCCACGTGGTTGGTTTCGTTTGCCTAAAATAATTACTTTGGCAGGGTTACATCAAACAGACCTACAGCAGTTCAAGACTCTACGTAGAGATATACCACCACGGCAAGAGTAACTTAGAGAAAGATCACATTTCTGAATTTTGCTTCTCTTAATTTATTTTTTATAAATTGTTTTTAACTATTGACGAAAAATTAATAATGAACGTTTGAAAATTTCCTCGAAACTTCGCAAAAAGGTCTTAGTCATAAAAAGCTACCCCAAATTTTAAATCAGCACCTTTTTAACTTCTTAAAAAAGAAAAAAAAAAAACAAGGACAATTACAAGGACATGCATTTTGCAGTTCAGGACGGTTTAGGGGTTACCAAGAGAAGAAGCTCGCCTGAAAAATTCCTGAATTTTCAAGTTATCACTTTTATTACAAAACACAAAGCAGAGGCCTACATTTGATGAATAAACCACGAAGGACAATGACTCTCATCTGTATTCAAGAAATAGTGGATAATTGGACCTAGCATACAATGCTTAGCAACGCAGTCAGCTAGAGTCATTGTAATGTGACACGTAAGCGTTTTAGGCCGGTTTCAAACGTCGTGCTACTGCCGTGACGAACTCAATTGATCGAATTAAATCCGACTTTAGCACGGCAGTAGCGCGACGTTTGAAACCACATTGTGCTACTGTCGTGTAGCACAGCAAGCGCCGTGTCGAACTCAATTCATTGTACATTATAAATCAGGGGCACCCAACGACAATTTTCGGAAAATATCTGTTTGGAAGACGATTTGAGATCTGGAATTTTCGGAACATTTGTTGTAAAATTTCTTGCTTGCCTGCCTCTCCTAGGATTTTCGAACATCTAAAAAATGGTATAATTGCCCATTTTTAATGGATTTTCACCCTTAAAAGGTCACCTAGAATTTTCGGGAGCCTTTTTTCTGGCTGAAATTTTCGAAAAGGTAACTTTTGATCCCTAAAATTTTCGGATCACTAGACTTTCAGCTAGGAAATCCGAACAGATGAAAAATTTTTAGGGGATAAAAACAGGCCTATATCTACCGTTTAAATATTAAAATACGTTTAACAATGCTATGTTTAAGTGGTTTTGAACTTTATTCTCGTTGGGTGCCCCTGATAAATAAATTAGAATACAGTTTTAATGTTTGCTAAACCGTTTCTATATTTTGTGTTTTGTTTTCAGCAACAGCCGTTCTATTCGACTGAATTAAATTCGACGTCTGAAACCAAGACGTGCCAGTGTCGAGCTGGGGTCGAGCCAGCTTAGCACGGTAGTAGCACGACGCGTACGTTTGAAACAGGCCTTATTTACTCACAATTTAAAAATAACATTAAAAAAGATTCTTGTCTGACTAAGGTCGACTTACAACCGTAAAATCCACGCGCGTTTGAAACGTGAGTGAAACAGTTAATATTATTCACCAGAAAATTGTCAAATGCCGGTAGACCTCTCCTGCTACATAGAGATGAAAGCTGACGGAGTTCCAGCTACGATCTCATGCGCATTGCACATTTCTTTTGTTGTTGCTTTCAGTATTAAAATTGAATAGTTTCCCTGAACGAAACGAACAACGGATCGTACAAAACAAAATTCGCATAATTTGCTTTCCAATTTCAGCTCGCAATTTGTTACTCTCTGAGAGTTTTCTCCATGATGATTCACTTTTTCGCTTTTGTTTTCATTACTTTTTTTCATACTGCCCCAGCGATCATAATAATTTTAGACAATATTTCTGATATCCGGTTTGACAACACTGCAAGTAATAGGTTCAAATAGTATTTTCAGAAGGTGAAAGCTGTTGGACTTTGGCGATTGACTAGTCTAAGTAGCCTTTTGTGTATTTTGAAGAGTGTACACCCGTTCGTTTGAACGCTAAAAACACAAATGCTTCTTCAACGACTAAAAAATGGGACATGACAAGATCCAAGATTAATCTTTTTCCGCCTTTACCAAGGGTTACTGCCGACTAAAGGTCCACAAATTTGGTTTGTGCGCGCGCAAGCGAGTTAACGAGCTAGGCACGAACGGTAAGTACATACAGCCATATAAGTGGTATGGATCAAGACTGGCCATGGGTGGATGAAGGGATCTAGCATCATTGATCAGGGAGGGAGAAGGAGAATGCTCACCCTTGACCAACAAGGAAGTTTCAGTAAATGGCTCAAATAGGGATAAACAACTTTCCCGTTCACCCTTACTCTACCCCCCTCCCCCCCCAAAAAAACACTGGGTATGGGTGCAAAGTTTTGCACGGGGTGATCAAAAATGTATGCCTTCCATGAAACTTGGTATCTAAGGCAATCTATGAAGCGTTTTGATTGATAGTCCTCGATCCTCTATTCTTTTTTGTACTTCAACTCGTGAAATTCCAACCTCATCTCCTCAAGCCCTTTTTTTTTGGGGGGGGGGGGTGGGTGCATGCCCATGGTGTTAAACCTAACATCAAAAGCAGCACATATGAAGACCAAGGGTTTTTTATTCTGGCATTTTCCTTTTGCTGATAAATAGCAACCAGGGCCATCGTAAGTCTTTTTTGACAACTTGGACGATAAGATAAAAAAAAAATCACACTTGATCTCAAGGACATCTGTCCCATAAAACATCATTATTCGGCAAATAACCGATAACATTGATTTATATAACTATGACATATTCTTTTCTAGGGGGTATATAATAGCATTTAAATAATTGATACATCTATAAGTTCTATAAATATCGATCATAAAATAAAGTAATTTGAGAGAAATAATTAAATATTAAGCATATAGATAAATAGATACTCTGTTCTATGCAATAAAATATATCTTCGATAATCTTTAAATTTATGAAATAAATAATCTTTACTATTTGGACGATGTGAATATAGAACACATATCGCAGATACGTTTCCTTTATATAACTATGGGATTTACGTGTGCATGGATTGTATGAATTAGTGATAGGGTACTGAAGGAGCAGGCGGAGAAATCGTAGGGGGCCTGCCCCTTATTCCCACCACCCGCACTCGGACATTGGATAAATTTCTAAGGATAAAATTATTATTTAGTGACAAATTATTAAAGTCTTAATCAAGTCATCAAGCCAGCCCTTTAAGCAAATTTACAACCTCCGCCATTGTTGGACGATCTTCGGGACTTCCAGACCACGATGACGTCATCAGTTCCCTATACCGGTTATCCACGTCATTTCCTTCGGGGATCTCGGGTCGTAGATTACAGGCTACGACACGGAAAATGACAATTTGATGATTTTGTAATTTGTAGGGAATCTCCCGTGTCCAAAACTGCCATAAACATATTCCGAAAGAGAAGACATCTGCTTTGAATGATGGGCTTTCTCCTTTCAGAAGTTCCGGGGCTCTGTACGCAAATGTGCCGGTGAGGTATGATCTGGACGGCGTGTTCGGTCGTTCTTGGATTATCTGGCAGCAACCAAAGTCTGCGAGTTTGCAGTTTCCTTCTTGCGTTACAAGCACATTAGCCGGTTTGAGGTCGAGGTGTGCGATGCTATTCTCGTGCACATATTCCAAAGCGGTGGCCACCTCGTATGCAAATTTTACGCGCCGTTTGAAATCGATCTTTTCCTCAGCATCGTCAATAACGTGCTGCAGATTTCTGGTGCTGACAAACTCCATAATTATACATGGTTGGTCTTCCAGACTTGACGCAACGTTCGCAGCCAAAACTTTGACGATATTCGGGTGTTTTAGAGACAAAACCTCGTGGTGCATTTCTGCTTCGAAGCTTTGCATCGCAGCCTTCTTGTTGCGAGTGTTGGTGTGAAATTTCTTCAGAGCGACTTTGCAGTTGTTGTGAATCGCTTCAAAAACGGACCCGAATCCACCCGAACCTAAAAGGCGAATGACTTTAACGTCGTTGATATCGACTCTGGGTATTAATTGAACTGATTCTTGAGCAAGCATTCTCATTTTCACTTCTGTATATGTATGTACTTGAAACAAGCTAGCTTTCACTTGCGTTGTTCTAAGCTTCCAAAATTCCCGGGTCAAACAACTATATAGCATTTTTAACTGCTTATGCTCATGCAATAATGCAATATGGGATTTATTATAACGCTCCAGCGTGCGCCAAGGGAATTTGCTTCCAAGTAACAAAAGTGTGAAACAACTAAATCGACACTATTTTAAAAAGAGGGTTGCAATGCCATAATTCTTATGCAAGCCACGCCTACATGCGCCTCTTAATCTTACTGATAGCTTGACTTCAATTATGGTTGTACACTATAAATAAAATATTCGTTAAGCCCTTGTGCTCAGTTACAATGGTTGGTTAAATGTAAGCGTCGCCACTCATCGCTAGTTTGTTCGCTCACGTTTTGCCCAGAACGTGAGGAGAGAAATGTAAAAAAGGTAAAACAACTATATTATTTTGCGTAGACACTAGGCTCGTGACAGTAATTCAGCTGGTAAAATTGAGTTCGACGGTGCATTCATTTTACCCCCCCCCCCCCCCCCCCCCCCCCCCCCCCCCCCCCCCCCCCCCCCCCCCCCTCCCCCCTTTTTATCTTAAAAAAAAAAAATAAAAAAACAAACCAAAAAAAAAAAGAAAAAAAAAAAAAAAAAAAAAAAACACAAACACCAAGACCCGCACCCCAAACACGACACACCCCCTCCACCCAGGGGGGCAGCGCCCGGGCCGCCCGCCGCGCCCCCGCCCTGTCACGCCGCGCGTGTCGCGCGACCCGTCTCCCATTTTTTCGTCCACTTTTGGTCTAAACGGGGGGAGAGAAAAGTAAAAAAGGTAAAAAAAATATATTTTTTTGGGTAGACACTGGGCTCGGGAAAGTAATTCCGCTGGTAAAAATTAGTTCGCCGGGTCATTCATTTTCCCCCCCCCCCCCCCCCCCAACTCCTCTCTCCATCAATGCTCCGCTTTCAGGGTATTTAAAGCTAAATAAACTAATTAAAGCTGCACCGAAAGAAAAGAAGTTGAAACAAGTCGAACTCGGAAACTCGCGAACCGAAGGCCGCGCACTAAAGAACGGTGCCATTCTCCAACGTGAGGGTCTCGCGCGCTGGTTACGCTCGCGCTTGCCGCCGTTTAGGCCGAAGATTTGTCGGCCTAACGTGCCCCACACCGAGGCATCCCGCTGCACGCGAAGAAAAAAAATTCTGGTACCCGGGGTAAACGTACAACAAGTTCAGTGACTTAAAAGTAAAAGTAACTGGAAACAGCACTTGAAAAGCTGTATCATTTATTACAATTGTTTCTTGTTCTCCTTGACCAAAAATAAAACTGTCTTAAGTCTCTGTAGTAGGGTAACATCGCTGTTACGTGGGCAATTCTCTTGGTCCCAACCTTTAAACACTCATTACCTAAAAAATATAGACGCTTTTAATGACATTGGCGTGGGATTAAGGGAAGTGGGCTCTACCCTGGGTGCCAGAGACTTTTCTAGCGCGGTTTCCGGTTTCTGTCAAGACTCTATGGTGACCCGCGCAAAAAGTTTTTCTCGCGGCCTCGGCCTTCGGCCAACACCGAAAACTCCCGCCGCACGCGAGAAAAACCTCTGGTACCCAGGGTAAGGGGCTCCGCTCTACCCAATCTATATTGGCCCAAAACAGAGCCACACGGGGTCGACAGCTTCCCCCCCCCCCGGTAAGAAGTATCTTCTATTGATCTGTTCCTGCTAGAGTCGAACCCTACATGGTTTGCTTTATGGTTCGACTGTAAAGACTTTTGATCGTTAGACGGAACAATTACAACTTCCTGCTAAAATACTTTCGGGTCACCTGTGTATCTATATTGGCCAAAAACAGAGCCACACGGGGTCGAGAGCTCCCCCCGGTAAGAAAGTATCTCCCCCTGACTCAAGCTATTGATCCGTTCCTGCTAGTGTCGAACCCTACATGTTTCGACTGTAAAGACTTTTGGTCGTTTGATGAGAACAATTACAACTTCCTGCAAAAATACTTTTGGGTCGCCTGTACAAATATAATTTGCAAATCTAGCTCTAAACTATATTGTCAAGAAAATTTCAATTAAGTACTGGTACATGATTTTTCATAATTGAAAACAAAACGCTACCTGACAAGGGCGTTTCAAAAATATTCAATTAAAGCAGTGATTCCTTTAAATAAACGTCACGGAAAAAGCCCCAAAATTATGTCTGCGGCCATTCTAACAGTGCAAATATGTTACAAAGACAAGAAAGGTTAAGACTGAATCTCGCGTCCAGTACTGAAGTCATTCATGCCCCCACATTACAAATTACAACTGCGTGAAAAAAGCGATCTAGAGAAAATTAATTAATGCTAGACTGTAAGAGGGGGGAGAAGAGAAAGAAAACTAACAAACAAAAACAAAAAACGGTGAGAAATTCCGATTTCCCTTTTTGTTGTCACTCTCACATGTATTCTCGTTATCAGGGCCCCCTCCTTTCGTTTGGTCACGAGGTCGTTTGTTAAAAATTAAGCCGAGTAGCTCTGGGGACGAGAATGTTACAGTCCGTTTTAAACTATTTAATGGTGCGTTTGATTGGTTGCATTCCGAAATAAGAATACACCAAAGTTTCGCTGCAAATCTCTTGTATCGTGATATTTGGACCATTTAATTTAGATATTTCGATTCAAGCAGATTTCTTTTTGCAAAGGAATGAAAGCCAAAATGAGTGATGTTTAGAGTTGATTCCTTCATTCTTATTCCGGAACAAGGTCAATCGAACACGCCTTAAACGGGAAATAGAAATAGGTCAACAGAAAGTAACTATTCAGTGTTGGACTTAAATACTTTGTGAACATCCGGAATTTACCCACTGTAACTGACCTATCACCAACTAGTACGCAAAATTTTCTTACGCTGAGCAAGCTTCTCTACCAATTTCAGTGGGAATTGGCCAGTTCAAGTGGGCAAATCTTCTGTTGATGCATACACACAACGTTCATAAGTCGATTACTTCATCTTTCTGTTACTATTCAAACAAGTGTCCAGGGGGGTGTAGTCAACAAAGTTATATATGGGGTATGGGGAGGCTCCGCCCCGAGGTCCCGCTCCTCACCCCTCATACCTAGTTTAGAACTTTGCATCCCTTTTAACTGCTATAAGTGCACTTTCTTTAAAATATGACTAAATAACAAAACTGGAATATTTTCTCGACTTTTTCACAGCCACAAGATTCTGTTTTAGCCATAATAGGTCATTTTACAGACCAAAATGACAGATTTTTCCGACCCTTTTATATACTTTAACTTCGCAGAAACCCTCCTCTCCCTGAAGCCTGAAAAAGGTACCCCTTTCGGACGGAGCCTCCCCATATAGGCCATTATAGGGAGTATTCATCCCCAGGGACAAGTATTTTGTCAAATATCCATTGCGAGAGTCGTTCATACAAATCTCCGACAACGCAACCTTTCTCTAGACGGATTTAGGGAGGTTGAAAATCTTTGTTTTTTTACCCAGCCCTGGTATGAGAACTGATATGAGTTTCCTTACTCAAGTGTCGTGTTCCTCTGACAACTGCTCTTGCCTTCAGCTTTGATTTCTTCAACGGTTTAACTTACAAAACTTGAATTCATAAGGGCAAGAGTTTCTATTCCTCTTCACACCGTATGTTTTTCGCACAGCCAAAGATGTTCCCTCGTTCGCTTGTTGTAAGTACAAACGAGCGGGCCGACCCTCCACCAGTCCGGCGAAATTTCCAGCAATTTGCACATCTTGCCTCGGCTTAGCGCTTCGTAGCTCTGCAGATATTTTAAGTCGTCTTGCAGGAAACTGGTGCAGGTCTTCCTTAGGTCAGGGAACTCCACGAAGTAATGTTCTAGAAGATACTGTATGTCCGTTATCAGGATGTCGCGAAATTTCGGAATGTCACCCAACACGATTTTGACAGGGACGCGTGACGTCTCAGGCTCACTTCCGGGGTCCTTCTCTCGTAGCATGAAAGCCAATTTTAAGAGCTTGCACGCACGGCCACCGAAGACCTCCAGAAATTCTTGGATGTTGGGAATGCGGAAACCTGGGCCTCCTGTTAAGTGCCAGTATCCGGGACATTCGCAAAGAAAGTGCACTGCGTAACCGTCTCGTAGCGGCGAGTTCACAAGAAGGCGGTTTTTGAACGGTGCGCTTTGAAAGCCGATTGGAAACACAGCAAGAAGTCTAGGGCAGTAGCGGTCTTCAAGTACTCCTCCAGCCTCGTCGAAAAACACCCCCAGTCTCACCTCTCCTTTTGTTTTAGGCGGGAGCTTTGGAGCAAGACGAACAGCAGGAGGATCACCAGCTAAAATAGCCGCCTCTCTTCCAAGGGGGTGACCCCAAGAGCAGAAATTCTCACCCTCACTAAAGAAGTTGCTTAGAAGAGCAGGGCTCTGAAACCCGGAGCGTTCACACACGGGGCAAATTATCCGCCTTATGTAGCGTGTTCCAGGATAGCGTGTGTCCACAACCATCTTGATTGCCGCTCTTATGTCTGGTAGAACACAGCAAGGGACGGATCCCCGAATTATTACCTTCAGCTTGTGTTCAAATGGGACAGCTTCGATACTGACCCTATGCACGACATTGTTCTCTGCTAAAGGGTGAGCGGTCATCTCTTTACAGTGGAGAGAACACCCCATGCTGGCTAAGTATGTGGTGGCAAACACCATGTGGAAGCGGTAGAAGGTCGGCTCTATCTCCATGCTGTTCGGCAGGCTTCTTCTGTTGATAGCTACTGTAAGGTCACTGAAGAACGTCGGTGGAAGAAAGCCGAAGTGAAATTCCGAGCTTATCTGCCGATCGTCTTCCGACGGTTGTGGGGGCCACAAGTCCTTGTCTGGACGACCAATAGGCAACTGAAAGGGAACAAGGTCTTCGGTTTCCGACAGGGGGACACATAATCCTAGATTCCTGAACAAGGTCAGCATGGAAAAACGTTGCCCTTCGGGTACTCCAGGCCACGTCTTGGCCAGGTTGTCAATCCGAAGTATTCCGTCCAAACCCGAGCTCGCACCCGCGTGCGACCTGACGAGGAGACACATCTGTTTCGACAGCCACGAAGGATCGACGAAGATTACGTCACCGATACCGGGCATGTCTTCGTACCATAGAATCTCTCCTTGAGAGTGAAAGTAGGTCATGAGAGCCTTGAGCTTGAAGTCTTGATTGACTCCACAGCCGTGAGCGATCTCGCGTAGACGCTCATATGTCAGCAGCGGCCATTTCTTAAGTTCGCTGTCTGCGTTGCACATCTCCTGGATGCGATCCCTGACGTAAAGGCATTTTTGCGGGATTCGTGAACTGACCTTGGTGTTGAGGAGAACATGCGCACTGGAACCCACTCCCACCTTGAGTTTCTGCAGGCTTCCATTCTTGGAACTCAGGAAATTCTTTGGAAACTGGGCCTGGCAGCTCACCTCGTAGTAACCCACAACGTGTGGAACGCAGGGTTCTGGAGCGACAGCAGAAGCACGAGGAAGTTCTTTCTCCTGGACGTAAAACGTTGAGCCACCAAAGCCCTCACAAACTAGGGTACCCTCACAAAGGCCGCACTGAGGCACTGCTTCTCCTTCGAACTGGCGTTTGTGTTCTCGACGATACTTACTCAGGAGCGTCTCGATGTCTTCACGGATGCGCCCACGGATTTCATCTGTGAGATTTGGGTGGTCAGCGTGCGTACCTATGAGAACAACGTGTGAATTTGGAGCTCTGGAGTAAATTACTTGCAGCCAAAGTTCTACTCTTCCAAGCTGATAAATCGACAACGACGTCTTGCTCACTGTGAACGCGCTCATGTCGAAAACAACTTGATAGAGAGTGTTCTCTGACAAGAAGAGCTGATGCGAACTGAACAGCGCTTCGTCTCCAGCTAAATCAAAAACTTTCAGCTTCAGAAGCATCAGGTCAATAGACGAGATTTCCACCCCTTCCGTTCTGTCGAGTTCACCAACACCGCCGATTCGCCAGTCCCTATTGTGGCGAAGAGCCTTTATAACAGCAGTTTTACCAACGCTGCTTTCTCCCACGACCACCATTTTGATCTGACTATTGGAAACAGGATCATCTAAGAAATCGCTAAGAAACTCTAAAATGCTTTCAGTTCCCTTATTGAGAATGTGAGTGGGAGGAAACTTCAGTCGATTTCGCGTGAACCAGAGATTTTGCAGCTTGCTCAATAGACCCAGCGAAGGGGACAACTTCTCTAACTTGTTGTGGCTTATATTCAGGGTCTCGAGCGAGCCAAGGCAGCCGAGAGTGTCGGGCAAATTGTCCAGCGCGTTTCGATCACAGTGCGCATGCCTCAATTTCTGCAGCCTGGAAATCGTATCGGGAAGTTTCTTAATCTTGTTTCCACTAAGACGCAAACGATGCAAGCTTTTCAAATCGCCCAGACGTTCAGACAAACGTGACAGGCCGCACTTAACGACACACAAACTCAGCAGGCTCGTTATCGAATAAATTGTCCCTGGTAACTCAATGCCGCCGAAATCACAATTGGTGATGGTTAAAGACTCCAAGCAGTGTTGGACGTGTGAGAAATCAAAGAGCGCAAGTCCCTCAGTGTTAGCAATGGTAAGCGATCGCACTGGCAACATAGGCACGGTCTCGTTCACAAACTTGGCAACATCGGTCCCGTTCTGACCAATCAGAAGAATTCTAGCAAGCGGGCGTGGCGAAGCAGAAGTGTAAAAGAAGGTCAACTGTCGCGTAAATTCAGTAATGTCACTATTTACAACACGATCTGAATCCTCGCTATCGTTGACCCAAAACTCACAGACTTTCTTCCACGGTTCGGGTGGGGTAGGCATTTCGCATCCGCTTTCCAGGAGAAAGCGCACCGCTTGCAAGTTGTTCCCTTTTAGAGCAGCATCTAAAGCGGTATTGAACTCTTTGTCTTTAGCCGTCACATCAATGGAATCGACAAGGGCTTCCAGCGAAGGGATGTGATTTCGTCTGGCAGCGCGATGGAGCAGAGTTGATCCCTCTTTGTCGAAATCCGGGCTGAACGTAGAGAGTTCCATGCGGTCCATGACGCTCACAAGAATAGCCGCGTCAAATATCTGTCGCACCTCATTGTCACAAGTCGAAAACTCCAAGTACCTGACGGCGCCAACTTGCTGGGCATAACCGGTTCCTGTAACTGAATAAACCGGTTTCCTCGAAGGATCTTTTTCATCCCAGAGCTCACGCCATTCCGTGTGCGTTCCAACTAAAATAAACGGAGTAATGGGGCAGAACTCCTGGATTTCCGGTATCCACTTACTCAAGACATTGTCCCAGGACGTCGCGCGAACGACCGAAAAACAAACCAGGAAAATGTCCGTGTCGGCATAAATGTCGGGTCTGATGTTATCGAAGGCTTCGTTGCACCGCGCGTCAAACACTTCCAGAAAGAAATACTTCCCGTTAACAGTAACAGTGCCAGACCACTCCTCTAAAGAGTCCTGGTTAGAGTCTACGCTTGACACGCTACCCTTCTCCGCATCGCAGTGAATAACCCTGAAATTCGGATGAGTGTGAGTGCTTTCAACTCTCTCAACGGTTTTCTGTAAATCTTGGTCCTGACTGACTTCCCCATTTCGGAGAGTCTCGTTTATTTCCTCGTGTAGCGGATCTGCGCAGGCGCTAGATGCGATTTCGTCTGTGGCTGGTTCAACCTCAGCGTTCATCACTTCCACATACTTCATGAAGAGCTCCCGTTTATCGGCGTTTTCATCACCCACTAAGACACACTTAACTGTCCTCATTTCTTTGGTCTTGGCTTTTCACACATGGGCCTTTAAAAAAGGGAAAAAGGAATGAGTTGAGAACCATAATTCAACCAATTAATTGACAATCTGTACGTGTTTTACGACAGAACCTAAAACTCTGTAGGCGTTTTGTTTTTGATTCATTCCTTCGTAGAATCGAAAAAAGACGTTTTGAATTACATTTGTTGCTGTTGAATTTCTTTTAGGGCTGGTTCTAAATTAATTCGACATTTTAGAGGGACAAGGATTAATAATTTGGCCTCCCGCACAGTTCCTCTTAAACAGCGTTCATGAGGACCTCCTACAGATATAAGATGCTCTGTTGGGTGCCCTGTGGTTAATGTAACCTGAACCTTACAAGTTTAGCTACAAAGAGTAAATCGAGAGGTTGTTGGAGCAGTTTACAGTAACTAGAATATTCTCAAAGAATAAGTGGGTGACTTAAAATTAAAGAGTTTCATTTGCAAACCCTTTAATCCACATACAGTCGAACCTCCATTAAGCAGCCACCTAAGTTAAGTGCCAAGAGTGACAAACATCAATTTTCTCCTAATAATATCAATACATATTCAAGAGAACAGGTTATGAGAACTGATAAAATGATCANTCGAAAAAAGACGTTTTGAATTACATTTGTTGCTGTTGAATTTCTTTTAGGGCTGGTTCTAAATTAATTCGACATTTTAGAGGGACAAGGATTAATAATTTGGCCTCCCGCACAGTTCCTCTTAAACAGCGCCCATGAGGACCTCCTACAGATATAGGATGCTCTGTTGGGTGCCCTGTGGTTAATGTAACCTCAACCTTACAAGTTTAGCTACAAAGAGTAAATCTAGAGGTTGTTGGAGCAGCTTACAGTGACTAGAATATTCTCAAAGAATAAGTGGGTGACTTAAAATTAAAGAGTTTCATTTGCAAACCCTTTAATCCACATACAGTCGAACCTCCATTAAGCAGCCACCGAAGTTAAGTGCCAAGAGTGACAAACATCAATTTTCTCCTAATAATATCAATACATATTCAAGAGAATAGGTTATGACAATTGATAAAATTTTCACCAAAGGAAAAATACTCTGATCATTTTTTCAAATTCTCCCAATTAATTTAGTAAGGAAATGTATAGAGGTCAGTTGGGAGAATTTGTATGCAGATATTGGGCTTATAGGGTTAAGTAGCCAGTAATCAAAGTCCTGAAATAGTTGTAGAAAAAAATGGGAAATTAAACCTCTGTTAAGCAGCTGTGGCCACCTTTTGGCCATCCCAACGAAAGTTGATCCCTTGTTGTCACTAAAAAATGTCACCTCTATTAAGCGGCCATCAAGCACTTGATGCTCATAGTTTGGCTTCATTTTAAGAATATGATAAATGAAAATACAGTCCGAGATAGGTGATGACCGATTGTGGACCAGTAATGCTTTTCCCGTTGTGCGTTTTATTTAAAAATAAAGTGACGTTTCTGCTAAAGATTACGCTAATTTATGACCAACCTCTACTGAGCGGCCAACCTCCATTTCGCGGCCACTTCCCCGTACCCTGAGACTTGCCACTTAATAGAGGTCCAACTGTACAAATTTTCTAGATTGATCTCCATCTGGAGAATTTGTTTCAAAATTGAAGAATTTTCCATTACAGTAAGTGATCATAAAGTTAATTGTGTGCTTCCAAAAATTATCCATACCTCCCCCACGGAAGGGATTTTTCCTTAGACCCCCACCCCCCCCCCTCCCCACCTCTCTGGAAATTTCAGTCAAGGTTCACACATTTACTTAAATTTTTGGGCCTTTGAGACCCCTCCTCCACCCCCCAGGAATTTCCAATTCCTTCTGTGGGGGGACTATGGATATTTTCCGGAACTACAAATTTCCATCAGCTCTTCTCTTGGTTATGATAATAAAAGAAGAAAATTGATTTTGTCCACTCCTGGGACTTGAATGTTGAAAAAAAAGTTATTTCTTTCCAAAATGGTGCAAGTTGAATGTGTAGTCAAAGATTGGTCTCACCAATAAACACATGAATGAGTTTGAAATAGGACCATGAGTGTGAAATACATTTACCTGTATAGCTATTATTCAAGGGGTAAAAGTGATACAGTAATTATAAAATAAAAAAGGGTTACAGAATTATAACATACAACTTTAAATAAAAAATCATCCCTTTATATAGTACTCTTGACTCCCAATAACTCGAACTCTTGCTAACTCGAACCTCGCGCTAACTTGAACCAAAGTCCATTTCCCCTGGATTTCCTTCTACCATTTACTGTAATTTTACCCTCGGTAACTCGAACCTCCCGCCAACTTGAAGTAATTTTTATTTCCCTTCAGCTCATTTCTATACAATTTTACCCTCGATAATTCAAGCCATGTTATAAGCATGTGACAAGTTGGGAAAAAAAAACGTGTGTTGAAGTTTGAAACATTGAATTTATTTCAAAACAACTGAGTAAATCCTTTGTCTTTACTCTTTTGTCACTCCAGTTCAAATTCAGTGTTCACTCCTGTATACTTTGTTGCTTTATATTTATTGCCTTTCCTCCCCATCCATTTGCTTATTTCCTTACTTCCGGTTATTTGCTTCAAACTCCCGATAACTTGAACTTTTTTAGATTTCCCTTGAAGGTTTGAGTCATTGGGAGTCAACTGTAATCCAAAAACTCATAAATAATTCATAAAGAAGAAAAAAAATGAAAAAAATTTAGACAGAACCCATCAGGAAACTGAGTAATTTTAGTTTTCATTGCACAAAAACCTTGTACCAGAATAAATCAAGCCATGTCACATTCTTTTGTACATTTTTCAAGGGCTATTACTTATCTGTAATAACACAAAAGACAATTTTTCATCGGAGCCAGAGGAAATTGATGTCAAACTTCACAGGAATTGTACAAACACAAGTAAAATTTCATACATAAGATTTCATTTTGTGAAATTTGAAACTTTTGAAATTTATTTTCTTGGGCTCCAACAAGAAATTTTCTTTGGTGTTATTACAAATAATTAACTTGAAAAATGTAAAAAGAATGCAGTAAGCCTTAAACTAAAATTACTCAATTACCTCATGGATTCCGTCTTAATGTTTAATGAGTGTCTTATATCTGATAAAGACATGGCTAAACTTTACGTCCAATTTTTTACACCAAAATAACCCCAAATCTAAATATTAGTACAAGAATGAGTTAATCCAGATATCAGAGATTTTGACGCTGTTAAAAAAACTCGCAGTCACGTATTATCTGGTTTAAAAACTTGCGGCTTCGCCTCAAGTATTTAATTGTGATTTATACAATCCGGCTCGGTTTTTAAACACTACTTTAATAGTAAAATATTAGCTGCTGCACCTATCCATTTGGCTTTGTTTTAAAACCTCCCATGTGTTAATTGTGCAGCATAACAGGGACTAACACATGATGTAATAGATTCCTTAAATGATACACGAATAACAAGTTTCCATGGTGCATGGGCATGCATGACTGACTTCTCCTCGAGTCATTTATATTGGCCAAGTCATCTAGAAGTCATCTTGCCCAAGTTAAAACACCCCAATTTATGTGTCTATTTTGTATGAAAGTAGCAAACTTTTCCAGATTGTAAAATAAACATTAGTTGTGGGCAAGCAAGCAAGTCAAGTAAGTCTGATTTCCATTAGATTTCACCCCACTTTTCAGTCGATTTTACTCTGTTACCAGTAAATTAAGCTCAAGGATAATTCAAATTCCCCACTAATTCACATTAACTTTCCCTTCCCTTGATCAAAATTTCACTGAAATTTACCTCAAGAATTTGATACCCAACTCAGATGCCATCCCATTAGCTCTTCTAGTTGTATCTACAGCAATTTGATTTTAGTTATGGCAACGGACAGATCACGTTTTATTGTAAGTTTTATCAAAAGCTCAAGGGTGGACCCATGGGCAACAGAAAATTTGTTAACAGCAAATGCCCCGTAGTAACCCAAGGGGAGGGGGGGCGTTGTAGGATGCTGGGTGCAGCTGGAATTGACAGATGTATTATGCATAATCATTGTGGGGACAATATGCTGCTTACAAAAGAGGCAGTTCATTTTACAATGCTATAGTTTACTGCCTCTTAGTTATTTGGACACACAACTGTTCAATTTTCCTCCTGAAGAGGGCTAGTATTAGGATATTTTGTTCCACTTGATTTACACTGTATGTGTGTGATGACAGTTAATAGGGAAAAGATTAAAACAATAGTCTATCTGATTCAATAAGACGTAAACAAGTAGGCCAGCTGTAATTCTAAAATCTACATCTGCACCTAAGCTTATAATCTCGAAGTGATTAAGTCCATCAACCAGGTTATGCGCAGTGAGCTTTATAAAGTATGTTCTGGATGCACATAACAGCTGGATGCTGTATGAAAATAATATAACACCTAAAACACTGATTTTGCATTCAAAAAGAATTCAGCAGTAAATCATTTATAGCAGTTTATGGCGAGCACTTTATGATATAAGCTCAGTGGCGTTTAGCAGTCCAGAAGCGCTGATCGCACATCTAACTGCACACCGCAAAAATATTTTCAGTCTTGAGGTCTCAAATATCGTAAGCAAACAGTAAATTGCTGGTTCTCGAAAAGATGAATTCTTATGTGGTTCAGAATGTTAACAAGTTATAAAACAACTTGATTAGTTCTTAAATCTTAAAAACAAGAAACAGAAACATTAGCCTTACCAAGTGATAATTCACTGTGAATGGATAGGTGACATCACGCGAGCGATCGGGAAGCCATTTTGATTAATGGAACGATTGAACCTCTACGATATCGAAGAAATTTCCGAGGAAGAACTAAAAGATTTGTTTAAGTATACACATGACCGTCTTCATGGACACTTTAAGGTTAACGGCATTATCGACGAGGATTTTAAAACCGCACAGAACTCTTGTAGTACTTTTGCCTTTCTTTGCCTTCCAGCTAGTTTCCAGTCTTTTCGGCGACACACCGGAAATCCGGACACACCTTGAGAAAATTCACCTGGACGCTGGAATAATGGACCATTTGAGGTGGATCGACAAGGAAGTAATTGCTTTTTATTTCAAGTAAACTTGAAAAGCTATCATACAAGATACCAAACAAAGCAGAGGAGCCAATTGGTTGGCATAATATTGGTTCTTACTCGCTCCATTTTCATTTTGCGCTTGGTAAATGAAATTACTTTGAAGGGATATGTATAGCCACTAAATTTGAGCATGACCGCTGGTCTTATTCGAAATCACTGATGATCTTCGCAATCTTACAAGCTCCAAGCAAGGTGAATTTTTTTCTCAGATCACATTATTTTTCTGGTGTTTAGCTCTAGATCACATCATTATGTTTTAAAGTCGAATCATTTCTGTTCTAAATTACCTAAATCGCATTAATTTCTGTTTCGCATGCAAAATAAGGCGCAAAAGCGTTTCCGGTTCCTATTTTTCACATACTGGCTTCTGGATTAATAAAACATAAGTATTATAAAAATTCTGTATTTGGGCGACTTAATTGTGCGATTTTATAATGGATGCCATAAAGTGGTCATGGGTTCTTTCCTNATTTATTTTATTTATTTTATTTTTTTTTTTTTTTTTATTTATACATTTCTAATAAAAGAAGGTGGTTTGGTGAGTGTGTCGGCTTGTGTTTTTGCGGGGAGGGGGGGAGGGGAGGGGGGGGGGGGGGGGGGGGGGGGGGGGGGTGGGGAATGGAGGCTTGGGGTCCATAATCGAGCTAGAGAGCTTCCCCGCAGGCACAACGAAGGCAACATTGACCATTATCAACTTAGATAATTGATGTAACAATTTTTTTTTTCTCATTAGTTAAAAAGACTTGCGCCTTATTAGCAGATTTCGTCTTTACTTTCCACTAAGACACTCTTCAATGGAATCAAACATAGCACATACAGAGGGCTGAAATTTGCAAACACTTTTAATACTTTCTCTCAAAGCGTATACACAGTTATCAACAAACAATTTTTATCTAAGTTTCTCTATCAAAACTCCGATTTGATTGACAGAACTTGCTAAAAACTCCCTTCAACATGGCAAGGCTTGGTATTTTAAAGCTGTAGAGTGTCGAGACGTAAAACACCTCTGGACAATCAGAATACAGGCAGATTATACAATGAACCAGTCAGAGCTTGAGCCGCGAAAAGGACGGAAATGCTTCTGACCAAGTCACGTGTTTTACCTTTGATTGGTTTACCCGACAGCAGGAGATTTTTCGCCAAAAACCGAACTATAAAGGAATAAACACTCGACGAAAAACTGTTTTGTTCTCAGTTGTAGGTCATGTAGCGTGGAGTGGCACTGAATTTCGCGTAAGCTTTGATCACTTTGTTCACTGCTTCTAAGAAGTCTTTCTCTGTCGCAACCTGTCAAAAGCAAAAACCAAAATAAGTTTTCATATCCTTAATAAGTTACCTTCTTTTTCCAAAACGATGACTGTGTTTTCGGGTCCTCAAAGCTTTTTTTCTGTGTCACAGTTAAGACTGGCCAGTTTTTCCCTCGAAAAAATACATAACCCTAAACTGTTACGTTCAAATGAAAGTCACGGAGCAGTACTAATGAAGATTAAAAGAACGCAAATTGACTTTCTTAGCGTCGTTTTCGGGAACAAGGAAACAAGATCCTCCTTGGTACTTACTTTTCTTCGTGACCGAATGGCGAACATGCCTGCCTCTGTACAAACACTGCGAATTTCAGCTCCTGAAACACCACAGAGGATAAAGGCAAATAAGTCACAAATGTACTAAGCCTATAAAATTAATTCCTAAAACCATTTGTCTCCGCTTTGACTGTCAAAATATGACATGTAAGTCTACTAACTTTTGAGTCTATGGATGAAATCGTATGGTGTTTCCATTCAAATGAAACCTCTTCAGCAGTACCTTTAGATGGTACTATTTATTTAGTATGTAGTTCTAACTTTTGAGTCTGTGAATGAAATCCTATGATGTTACCATTCAAATGAAACCTCTTCAGCAGCACTTTCACCACTTCACATGGTACTATCTATTTAGTATGTAGTTCTAACTTTTGAGCCTGCGAATGAAATCCTACGGTGTTACCATTCAAATGAAACCTCTTTCGTCCGCGGTAATTTCAAGTACTAGGCTGTTTTTACTCACCCGTTGTGTTGGGGCAAAGACGGGCCAATAACTCATATCTAATATCCCGCTCCACACTCATGGAACGGGCGTGGATTTTAAATATGTGAGATCTACCCTGTGTGGAGACAAAAGAAATATCGTTCACCCTGTCAGCAATTTTAAACAAAGTTACGTTTAATTTCGCACTTGCTCTTTGTGAATGGTCAAGAATTCCGCTGCATATCACGATCGTAGGCTGCCCTACACAGTTCCCGCGCTTGACGTAAAAGACTGGTAAATTTCGTCCCAGTTCCTTTTACCAAAAAACGGCCGCGAAAGTCTGAAACTGTACCAAGGATGGCTTTGAAGAAATTGAGCACGAATTTCCGTTTAGAACATTTTGTCCCGAAAACCAGGTGTACCTTTTCAGATGTTCCGCTCCTCAAGCGAAGTTTCCGCTAAAACGACCAAAAAAGTCGTCTTCCATTTTCTTTCCAACCGTATTCTTCTGAACCTTTTTGAGGGGATCCTGACAGCTTTGCATTACTACACCAGAACGTTAAAAGCTTAAGATACTTAAAAAAGCTAATGAAATACCTCTAAATCAGGTAGACTAAATTCAATTTTTCTGTCCAGTCTTCCTGGCCTGGTCAGTGCAGGATCAAGAGTATCTGGTCTGAAATAAAAGTGCACCATTACACAGTTGTATTGTCGCTAAGCGTTAACGTTATAACACTCTATTACCAACAGCTCTCTAAGTGAACAAAACTGCACTACAATCCATACCTCTAAAATAGGGCCACTTTTGTAGTAAGGATCCTTGGGCCATCGCTGTGGTGTCTATTAGGGACAGGCCTTACGTCATTATGAAACTCTCTTTTTCAAGAAGGGTTTCACTGTACATATCGTCCCAAGTGAGGGAATCCAAGACAGTCTTGGATTCTGGATTCCAAGCTGTAGATTCTGGATTCCAATCGTTAGTGGGATTTCGGATTCCTTGAACTGAATTCCGGATTCCAAAGCCCAGGATTCCGCATTCCCCAAGCGAAACTTTCCCGGCTTCCGGAACCCGGATTACCTTACATGGGGCGATAAATAAATATTCGGGAGCCGTTTAAGGTCGTACCGGAGGCTAATTTGGGCATTTGTTTGTAAATTTCAGTCGAGTGAAAATATTAGAAGTATTTAACAAAAAAGTGAAATTTTGGAATGAAAGTCATGAAGTGACAAGTCAGTGACTTTTTTGAGCGACAAACGTCAACCGGAAGTGAGCCTTGTTCTCTTTTAATATGCCGTAAGGCTACGAAATTTGTATTACTAAGCGTCATTACCCAAGAGGTTTTTCAAAAATCACAGCTGAAGAGTTCAAAAAGTTCAATGCCGGTTGACACGCCTCACTCAAAAACGTGGTTGCCTCAACTCCCTATACTTACCGATTTGTTGCCATAAGAACCTTGATGTTTCCTCGTGGATCAAACCCATCAAGTTGATTAATAAGTTCCAACATTGTTCTTTGAACCTCGTTATCACCACCAGCGCCATCATCAAATCGAGTGCCTGGCAGATAGTAAAAAAAATAAACCATAAAATCTTGGACAAAGGCTTAAGGAATCACTGCACTAAATACCTGTAATAACACAAAGGCAGCTTGTTTTCCATTAAGTTGGTAGAATGTCTTTGAAAGTGCTTAACGTTTGTGCAAATTGAAAATAGTTTTCTAGTGTGGTTGATGTGGATAGGCAAATCAAGTAAAACTGATACAATAATCCCCAGCCTTGTTAGTAACAGATTTTAAGAGCTCTTCAGCAGAAATTCTGTCCTTCTTTATGCACAAAAATTGATGACATACCTCCAATAGCATCAATTTCATCAAAGAAAATAATGCAGGCTTTCTTTGTTCTGGCCATTTCAAACAATTCACGCACCATTCTTGCACCCTGAGGAATGACAAAAGGGGAAGAAAATGTTGTCATTTTCAATCTGTGCTATAGTGTTGATGAGTGTTTTTCCTTAATGCAGCGGGAAGGTTTTTATGATCAAGGGAAGCCATAGTAGTTGGACCTCAGTCCCTGGAAGGTTTAAACGTGCTGGACAGGTTTGGGTGAAAGACCAATTGACTTGCAATGCCTGGCCCTCCAAATTGGGGGTCGGGCAAGGTTTTATGTCCAATCCCCATAAAAAGAAATATCACGACTGAAACTAAACACACTTTTTAAGATAACAGTAGCAGTTGGCGAAGATGTGTAAAGTCCTTATTGAACAGATCGTAATGAGGCGAGGCGAGGTGCATGTAGAGGTAGTAATTATTGTGTTAATTCATCCATCTAGAGTAAGCAGGAATTGCTTGTCAAGTCAAGAAACAGGGCCCCTTTAGTGAAGTTTGAGTTCAATTTTAATAAAAGTATTAGCAACTGTGAGTTAAAAGTGACTCTTCAACGATTTAAAATATTATTTTGCAAAATGCAGAAAGCGTACCAATTCAAATCACTATCACTAACCTCTCCAACATATTTTTGCACCAGCTCAGATCCAATCACTCTGATAAAACAGGCATCAGTCCTGTTTGCCACAGCTCTTGCGCAGAGAGTCTTCCCTGTACCAGGTGGTCCATATAACAAAACTCCCTTGGGAGGTTCTATGCCTAAATTCACAAACCGTTCAGGCTGCAGAGAAAAATAGGCAAACCCAGGTAAATACCTGTACAGTGCTGTGGGAAAATGTTGATTAAATTTTTATTCTCTAAGTGGTCAGGCCACACTAGAATTCAACATACAATCATGAGTGAATCAGGGACATTTAACCCTTTAAGCCACAATATTAACATACAAATTCTCCAAACTGATCTCCATACATTTCCTTACAGAATTAGTTGAGAGAATTTGTTCAAAGATCAAAATGCATTTTCCCTTAGGTGATCATTTTATACATTCTCATAAACTTTTCTTTTAATTATGTCTTCATACTGTTAGGAGAAAATTGATGTTGGTTGAAGGGTTAACTGGTAGTCCCATATAACCCTTTAAGCCTCAATATCCAATTCTCCAAACTAGTGCTCATACATTGCCTTATAGAATTAGTTGAGAGAACTTGATAGAAGATCAAAGCATATCTCCTTTGTTCATCATTTTGTTAATTCTCCCAACCTTTTCTTTTGATGATGCATTGATGTAGTTAGGAGAAAATTGATGTTGGTTGCTCTTATGCCTTAAAGGTATGATACTACGATAATACAAACTGATGCTCTTTACATGAAGCAGTGGAGTTTCTACAACTTCTCGTAGTTTGTTTATCTGTTCCTTGCAGCCTCCTACATCAGAGTATGTCACATCTGGCTTCTCTTCCACCTACGGGATAAATGTACATCACAAGTGAAAGATTTTATTTTTGAAGAAACCTTTGAACCACTTACTTTAAATTCTAGTTTCAAATTACATGAATCTAACCAAGAACACCTGGATTATATAAGAAAAGTTCACAGTCTCATGACCAACAATACAATCATATTGGACATCACGATACTAAATATTGCACTGTTACTGTTTGTGGTTTAGTTATCTTGGGCACACAGGTTGAAATTTTCCTCCTAACACAATAACACTACTGAAATATCCTGGTGCCCATAGTTTTTTGTTTTCTTTTTTGTTCAAAACTTTGTATTGTGAACATGCTTGAATGACCAACCATACTTTTTCTTTAAGAAAATGGCTTTTTTATGATCTTTAATCAGCTTGGAAGGTGTCTTTAAAATAAAATTTATTGACTATTCCCTGAACTTAAAAAAATTTCATTATTCTATGACTTAAAATTCCCTCACTGTGGCAACCATAAGCTACATGTAGATATATGTACTGCAAACATCTTATACTCAGTAGATTACCTGCATCATTGTAACAGTTGGATCAATCTTCGGTGGGAGGGGAATGTGAATTTGGTACTTGTTTCTATCAACTCTGAAAATAGGGAAAAAAGCATAATGCATGTGGCAAGATGCATTGAAGATGTCTAAAACCAGCAACCTTCCATTGCCTGAAAGACTGCTTTAGTCACATGCAATGACAACCATAAGCGGTTACCATGGCAAGCTTATGAGTCACCATCAGAGTGATATGCTTGTATACCTGAGGGGGGTGGTGGGAGGGGGGACAAAATGAAGTGCAAGGGCCCTGGGGTAAATTTCTTAATAGTCCTGATAAATAACAGTTCCGGAAAGTTGTTGTTATTTACATTCAAGACTAAGAGTTTCAATAGTGTTGCAGATAATATTAAAATGAAAAAACTACACTGTATCAGTTTTGTTAGCTAGGACCAACACTTCTTTGATCAGCTTTTGATTTGAATATTTGATTTATGGCCGCGAAAAGTTACTGGGACTTTCAAGAAACAGACCTCTAGCCAGCCAAACTACTTGACTACCCTACTTTGCAAACAAGACACCACATCGCACTTACTCAAGCTTAATTTTGCCTTAACTGCAAAACAGCCATGTATTTCTAATTAAACAGGATTTACACATCTTGTTTATTGAATGTGATGTGGATCATACCCAACTCGCATTCCTTCTTCAATATCTGTGGGAGCCACTTGATCACCAAGATCAACCACAAACTTGGCAAACTGTTTAACATTTATCACATACTTAGCATCATCAGTGTCTGCATTTATTATCTTTGTACACCTTGCAACCTGACAGAGATAAGACAACACATAAAATAAATGAGTGCTCAGTAATAATTAACTTGCAAACAAATGAGACAGTTACTGAGTGGCCAGGGTGCGCCAAAAATTTTCTTATCCACTTGTCCTTTGGACAAGCACTATATTAAATTTGGTTGTCCGAAACCCAAGGGTTCTTGTCCAAAAAGTTTTGCTCAAAACTCAAAAACAGTCGGGCATATATTTTACTGCTTATTATCACATAATCAGCCTTTTTGTAGGTAAGCTAACAGGCCTGGTTACTAAGGACAGGTTCCTAAGCCAAATGGAGCTCATAAAAAAACAAATGATTGAAATGGCTGTGGAATAACAAAGTTTTAAAGGAATATTTAACCTTATTTTGACAAGCAAGAGGTTTGCTTTTATGACTATAAAATAAATTTTAATTCTGCTGTAATTTGAAGTCAACTTTTATCTGTTTCTGTATTTTTTCTAATTAATCAAGTTATGTCAAAGGTTTACTTGTCAGAACTGTATTTCTACCTGTCCCAGACAATCAGACATAGGTTTTGGCGTACCCTGAGTGGTAATTATTCCAAAGCACAAGAGGGTTCCAAGAAGCTGTGGACAGAGTCTATAAACATCACCATGCATCAACAGGCAGTAGTGAATTAATGAAACATGTGATAACGGTGAAAATAACTGTACATTGACAGTCTCAGCTCGATCTTCCTTATTTTGATCAAATAAGGTATTTATTTTCAGCACGTGTTTATTATATTAAATACCTGCAAAGGCTGCTCTCCCTGAAGTGTTTGTTTATCAGCTGCTAAGTCCCATAAAGCTGGAGGAGCTAAGCCGGTGTCTGATTCTTTTATACCTGAAAACAAACAAAATTAACATTGACTACATGTTCAGGCTACATGAATTGTAAATAAAGAACAGGCCCCAGTTGTTCAAAAGCTGGATAGCGCTATCCATCGGATAAATCTCTATCCAGTGGATAAATATCAGGGAAACCAATTGCGCTATCCATTGGATAAAGATTTATCCATTGGATAGTGCTATCCAGCTTTTGAACAAGTGGGACCTGATCTAATTCAGAATAAATACCAACAAAAGGAGCTGACTAAAGGTGATGAGTTTCTTAACAACAACAACAACAACAACAACAGTTTATTCAATTGTCAAATGAGTTAGGTCTTAGTTTTTTTAAAGATCTTTAAAGGCTCCATAGTACTTTGTACATGTATAAATTTTAGTTCAATGGTGATCTCAAGCTCCCTTCATGTTTCAGAGTAAAACAAGAAAAAGGGAAAGACCATGGGGAGTAAATATGGTCTAGGATTGGCCCATTAACATCTGAACCATCCATGACTACCTCTTGTACAACTTGTAATGTCATCACTTTTTACAGACATTTAACTTGTGCCGGGCAGAGAGACCTTTCAAACCATTCCAGATTAAGAACAATTCAGTCAAACAGGCCAAAGCTTGTTGAATATATATCTTTATCATATGACCCTTATGGACCCGTGCGGAATTAATTTTTGTTAGAAAACCATATGAAAAAATGTCTGTATGAGGAATGTATGCATCAAGAGATAGGGCTGGAAAAATGCATATGGCCTTGCTAGATAAACATACTGATTGATGCTTGTTCGCTCCATCAGAAAAATTCAAAAAAACTACAGTCATACAATAAGTAGGTTGGGCCGGATGGAAAAATATTTGGTTCTCAGTCAGGAGGGCTGACCTAGAGCCAAATATTTTTCTGTCTGTACCTCCCACTCACACAGTAAGTACATAGTATTCTTCACAGTGGTAGCTTCTTTAAATATAACAAATTATATTTCTACCTGTTAATTCATTCACTTTCTTTAGTGCTCCTTGAATATCATCTTCCACTTTTTTTATTGATCTGCTGTATAAACCAGCACCCTGTTTGAAAACACAGCCAGGAAAGACAGAAATATTTTGTAACCATAGTCCTATCATGTACAGTATTTTGCAACAGCTCTTGCATGTCAATAGGGTATATACCTCTAGTCAGTAATTAAACAGTTTTAAAAAACCCTCTTAATCAGTAGAAAGAAAAGGGGTTTAGTCAGTTTATAAAAATTATCATTAATACTCATACTGTTATTTACAATATCTGACACCTGATTAGCTCAGTTGAGAGAGTGCCAGTCGGCCGAGAGGGAGGTTGTGGGTTCAAACCCTATCCAAACAAATGACCAGGGTCTCTAAAAAACTCAGTTCAGATGATCGAATCATTGGACTATAGTGATATTAGGCTATTGGCCTTGTCTTCTTCATCCTTCTATCATTAGTCGGATCGAAAGGGATGTAAAACAACCCAATGGCAACTACCAATCAAAAAGAGGAGGGGAAGTTTCCCCGGTGGTGTGGTCTACTTTTCACACACTTCACTCATATCATGTGCTAGGTGGGTTACAGTAAACTCATAAGTGGACAGATGCATCTAGCAGTGGTGCCCTTGTGTGCTGACATCCAAGCAACCTGTTAACATGTTGATATTTGAAATGTAAAGAGGGCACAATTGTTGTCCTCTCACCCACAACATTTCATTCATTCTTTCATAATTTGTCACTCATTTAACTCACTCATAATGATGTAGCTCATCTTAAGGTAACAATATTTGCAGCAGTTTCATAATTTGTCACCCATTTAACCCACTCATGATGATATACAGCTGTAGATCATCTTGAGGCAACAACATTTCCAGCAAGCAATACATGTATATGCTCCTAACAGTCTATCACAAAACCAGGTCAGTGTCAGTGTCACTTAGGAAAAATAACAACACACACATGGAAAAAAATACAATATGAAGTGAGAGGTTGCTGAAACCATTATGTTTTCTAAAAAAAAGCCATTTTACCAAAAAATGTTCAAACTTTGGCTTATTTATTATTTTCTGATATTGATTTCTATTGATTAAATACACCTGGCATAACAGTTTAGGCAGGGATTACAAGTTTTCAACAGTATGCAACATCCTACTATGCATTAACTTAAGAAACTGTGCTAAAGTGAGATAAACATGACTGTAATCTTCAATAATAGTCAGAAGTGACAAACCATAATATTATTGACAAGCATATAATAATAAGCTTATGTCAGTATACATGTTGTGGTTTAGTTTTATTCGTGGTTTAAATTTACTTTCCTTTGTTTCAAATTGATCATCATACGTTACTATACCTCGGAAAAATAAAATAAAATTCAAGCCAAGGATATTGAAACTGAACCTAAACAAATTTCCTGAACATATCAAGCCATATTAAGCCATGCAAAAATATAAAATCCTGTTACGCTTTACATAAAAGTCGATACATTTGATGTACTTACGTATGTCTTTAGAATTTCGATATCTCCTTCATCAAGAGCTAGAAGAGGCAAAAATGACAATAAAATTTTTAATGAAAGACCTGAATTCTTGTTTCCATGTGCAATCGTAGTGAGAAAGATGTCAATCGTGTTACTAATAAGTCCCGTCGTGATTTGGTATGATTCAAAGTATCACTCGCACCTTGGATTGGCTTATCGTCTTTTTTCTCGTCGTCTTTAATTTTCCTTTGATCTTTTCCTAAATAATCCGGCATTTTGTTTGAAACTTAGAAACTCCCTCACAGCAATGGCGAAAATGGATAGAACTGCGCATGACCAATTTGTGCTTTGTCATCGCTCCCATGAACCTTTTCAACCTCAGCGTTGTGCCAGTTTCTCAGCAAATAAAGAAAATAACATTTCTGCCACATTTCAGCGAGCGACAGATTCAGTCTTAAGCCCATAACGCAATGAAATACAGATAAGTAATCACTTTAAAAAAATCGGATAAGATATTTATGCGATGTGCAATACGACTCTCGACCAAGCATTTTCTCCAGATCCAACTGACTGTCCTTGGGTCTCCGAGGACTCGGGGCAGGCCCGGGTGGGGAGGTTTGGATCCCTTTTAACTGCTGTAAATACAAAATGTTTCAAATATGAATAAATGATAGGAACATAAATTTTTCTCGACTTTTTCAAGGTCATAAAACGCGTTTAAAAGCTCTTTTGGACCTTTTTACAGACCGAAATGACATACCGTAAAATTCCGAAAATAAGCCCCTCCATGTATAAGCCCCTCCAAATACAAGCCCTCCAAAATCGTAAGGCAAAAAACCCTCCGTTAAATCTTCCCTCCGAATATAAGCCTCCCGGGGGCTTGTAATTGGAATTTCGCCTCGAATACAAAGTAAAACAAAGCAAAAAATGGTAAATCTCCCTCCCACTACAAGCTAGTTCAATCGATTTTGAAACGCAAATTTCTCTTCGTAGATAATCCCCTCCGAATATAAGCCCCTCCAAAAATAAGCCCCTCAAAAAAGGCCTTTGAAAAATATAAGCCCCGAGGCTTATTTTCGGAATTTTACGGTATTCCTTACCTTTTCATATACTTCAATTCGTGAAATCCCTACCCTTTCACCACCTGAAGCCTGAATTTCAAAAAAGGTACAAGTACCTCTTTCGGGCTGAACCTCCCCTTATAGGCCAAAAAGAAAGTATTCCTCGGCATAAGAGGTCGGATCGAAATTTGGGTCCCTCGCTGTTGCTACAACCAGTTGCAAAAGTACTTGAGACACTGTACCGTATTTTGGCATAAATGGCCTGCCCATGATTTTGTGCTTGTGATCCCCCCTCCACCCCTTATCAAAGTTGCTAGCAATACAAGACCATACTCAAAACTTGGAGGAACAACTTTGAATTGGAGGGAGGAGGGAGGTCAGTATTATATTTTACTGACCTGTGACCAGGAGCGATTTGAAGCAAGAAAGGTCGTTTTCCCGTGGGAGTGTCTCATCATTTTTGTAACTGGTTGTAGCTAGTAGGAATGTTCATAATGCAAAATGTACCCGCATAGGAAATAACATATTTCGACTGCAGTTTGAACAAATAAGCGCAATAAGATTGGTACAATTCTTAGTTGAAACGATCCGTTTAGGGGTGGCGAACTGAACTATGATCATGCGTGTTACGTCTCCTGCAACCACGTCCCCAGGTTCTTCTCGTTTTCCAATATGGCGGAGGCAGGAGAGAACCTGTTTTCTTCCTCTATTTTCAAATACTGCACGAAACTCATCAGAACACCGGAATAGCAGCACGCGCTAATGCTCTTAAATGTTTGATTTTGATAATGGTGAATGCTTTTTTTCGTTTTGGTCTTTGGACCCATTGAGGAAGTACGAAACCGGAACACCGGAAAAACCCAGCCAATTCTCTGAATATATTGCTTTTTGATAACAACGCTTTTTCCGTTTTTGTTTTTGGACCGCCCTGATGGTAATCAGAAAGTACAAAGTTGGACCAAAGCCCGAAAAAGTATACCACCGGTGCTTAACCAAGAACTAAGAAATATTCAGTTACAAAATTTTAAAACACATTATTTTTTATCTTATTTTTGCTAGCAATATTTCTTGCAACTTTTCCTGACTTTTGCTGCATCTTTGAGAGAGACGTTGAATCCGGCAGCAAGACAAACATTGCATAGGATAATTAAGCGATATCTCCTGACACAAAATTGTCTGGCAACATTTACCTTGCAAAGCTATCAGAACTTCAGTTAAAGTAACATCAGTAATATACCTCCCAGGGCCTGTCACAGGATGTGTCAAAGTCAAATCCGCATTCTAGAATCCACCAAAAACGGATTTCAAGCGTTTCTTTACTAAAATTCATAAAATGGATTTGAATCTAAGTGATTCACACACCAAAGGGACTCATCAGATCGAACTCTAAACCCAGCAGATTTTGAGAATTCATGTAATTCCTGCGCGAGCGTTTCAAGGTGAATGATCCCTGAAAACTGAGTACACCTGCAACCTCTTCCGGTGTTTTGGTGTGTTCATCCGTTTCAAAAATAATCTGTTCCATGTTCCGGTCTTCCGATTTTAGGGCCTTCAAATGATATGTTAATTACTATGAACTCAGTAATTTGGTTTTAGTTCAATGTCACATTTACTGAAAACTTTACATCGTCAAGAGACAGGGGGTGAGAGAGTCAGATCCTCCATTGCTACAACACCGAAAGACGAACAATGAAGATAATGTGAAAGATCCCGAAAGTACGAGGTACTCGTTCTAGTTAAATGATCACATGGCATGGCGGCCTTGCACATAATTTATTGGTCAAAGTAGTGCAAAGTTCCTAGGGATAATTTTTCATGTGTTTTATCATAAACTAGCTACGCTATATGGCAGGACGATCTCGTCTAGTGTGCACAATGGAACCTCGATATAACGAACCTGTAGCTCTATTGATTACGAAGTCCTATGTATAACGAACGATTTTCTTTACCCCAATACGAGCAATCGTTATAGCGAAGATATTTTTCCACTCCCTTGCTCCTTCGTTATACGGAGGTTTCACTGGATTGATTTGGCCTCTCTTAGTCTAGGTTAGCATCGATTAGCAGCGCGAAGTGTGACATTACTTTGTAGGCGGTTGAAATTCTACC